AGAAAAGAAAAGAAAAGAAAAGAAAAGAAAAGAAAAGAAAAATAAAGTAACGGAACTCTCAGCCCGGGGCGATTTTTTCATTAGCCTATAAACGACTGCTGTGCCGCCTCCTGGAGAAAATGCAAAATGGAACTCAGTTTGGGACAAAGTTTTACTTTTTTTTGCTTCTGCAGCTGTCGTGCTGTAGGCAAAGGATCACAGTTTTAAACACAGGGACTGGAGACAACACTTTTTCAATGAACCTTGATTTCACAAACACAGTGGAAATGTTAATAGGCCTGTCTATGACCATATATGAATCACAGTTCCATTCAATTTCTGTTATTTTATAGCATTATTTTTTTATATATTTCTATTATTTTAATAGCATACAATTGATATTTAGGATCAGTCTTCATTGACTCATTCTTTTTGTGGAACACAAAATAATTAGAATGTTTTTGGTTAATCCTACATAAGTTGTATATACTACTACTACTACTACTACTATTATTATAAAAAAAAACACATTTTCTGTAGCTGCTTATAAGACATCTGAATTGGCAGAACTTTCTTCTTTTCAGTCATTATTTATGGCATTGTGTGATTTGAGTCTTTGTCTTATCTCATCACTCAACTTCTCTAAACCTTGAAGACATTTCTAACATTCTCCATGAAAATAAAGGAGGAAAAAGTCTTGATACACGTTATAATTCCCTTTTCCTTCAGTGATTGTGTCTAGACCCTGAGGCAGCAAAGCAGTGTTGAACCATGATGCTCCATCCACCATGTTTGACAGTTGAGCTGAGGTTTGGAGTTGGTATGCAGTACCCTTTTTCCTCTAAACAAAATGTTCTCAACTGTCCACAGAACATTTTCCCAGAAATGGAACAACCAGGTAACACTGAGACATGTCTCAATAATTGTTTTAGACAGCAGTGGCTTCCTAAATCCTGTCCTGTTGTCCACATGAACAAAGTTTTCTAGAGGTCTTTTGCTGTAATAGGTTTCTTCTCACCTCTTTTAGGATTTCCTGGTGTGTTGATCCATGAACACGCAGGTCTTTGACAATGCTTTTCTAGCCTTTTCCAGCTATGTGTTTTTAAGCTTTTGGGAGCGAGGCATGGATCACACTATTTAAACTTTCCTGAGAACAAATGTATCAGTAACCAAGCTTTGTGTGCTTATATTTAAAGTGCAGGGCATCTGTCCAAACCACACTTTCAATCTCATCTTCTTAATTGACTCCAATTAGCTTTTTGAGAAGTCATGTTTCACTTACATTTCCCACCTGTCCTGTCAATGATCACTCAATGTCTTCAATAAAATTGTGACTTTGTAACTTGAAAATCTGATCAGCTTTATGAGTAATCAATTCAGAAATGCAGATATTTTCAAAGGGTTCACAAACATATTCTTGCCACCTTATACATATGCATATATATGCATACCCATATCATGGCATTACAGCTATTTTAATCTTGCGCAGTGCAGTTTTTCTTGTTAGAGCACCAGGTTTTCAAGTAGATTAGTTACAGAGCAACACAACATCATTTTATGATCAAACGAGGTTGAAACCAAGCCAAATTAGTTTTAAGTTATTATTTGTTTTGCTATAATCCATCATCACACAAAACTTGCTTTCAAGTCGGCACTTTGTCTTCCAAGACAGTTCCCCTGAATCGCTTTAGAAATATTATTACGGGGCATTTAACTCCATACTGAGAAAACTCCCTATTATCTGTTAAACAGCCAAGCCTGCTTATTTCACTGATATTTGCAATACTCTATCTTCTATTCTCAGACTGTATTTGATTAGATAACAGAATTCATGCTGTAAATGAACTGTGAGTGAGTGCTGGTGTATACTGCATGCAGACTTAATGGTTTTCTTATTTCTGAAAGGAATATATAGGATGATGCTTAGATAAGTGAAGTTTAGAGGAAATAACAATGGCCAGTGGTGTAACCTTTGCTCCCTGAGACAGAGGAGCAGCTCTCTGCATTCCACAGATGGGAGTATCGAGTGCTGAGTGAGAGTGGGAGACAAACAGACAGTGAGCGGGAGAGGGCGAGAAAGAGGAGGGTGTTTTGACAAGACAAGAAGAATTGTTTGGCAGGAGGTTTTAAACAAGTTTAGGAATTCCCTGAGCATGGCAAAAGAATATTGAGGAGTTGGTGCTGTTAAAATAGATGTCATGTCCACATAAAAGATGCATAAGCAATTGAACCTATCACACGAGTAAGCGGATATTCAATTCAATATTCAATATTCACACAGAATGCATTTTAAACGTTTTTAAATTCCTTGTTTTATTGTTGTGATTATTTTTTTATTATTATTATTTTGCTTCCTTTTATGTAAAGCACTTTGAATTAGCATTGTGAATGAAATGTGCTATATTAATAAACTTGCCTTGCCTTGCCTAATAAAAATACTCCGCAGTTGTACTTTTGGCGTACTAAACTGGTATACTTAAAGTCTACTAAATTGGAACAACTAATTTTATACTTAATGTACTTTAATTGTGCGGAAGTGGTGCTGAAGTCCAACTAAAGATACACTGAAGTATATTCGATTGTGCTAAAATGGAACTACTGCCATAGTTCAGGTACACTTTGAATATCTTGCATTTAAAAAAAATAGTTCCTCATCAATAGTGACATTAAAAACATTTTAGGCTTAATAATAAGAAACATGCATTGTGCACAAGTAGTACTCCAAATAATGCTGAATAATCATTTTTATATCAGTGAATCTCGAGCGATGTCGGTAAATATGTTAATAGATTTGAACTATACTTAGTATGAAATAAATGTATTTTAAATATATGACTTTTTTACTAGGGGCGGAATGCAAAAATGCATTCTGTTGGATGTTTTGAATATCAGTGTGGACTTGCATCATTACGAGTGTGCTATTGCTTTTATAAAATATTGAATAAAGAATAAGTTCATGTTAAATATGAATTTACATTTCAGACATACAGTTCAAAAGTCAAAGCATGATCAGCCCTTGTATGTCTACAAGCAACACACAGTAGTTGTGTTTGTTTCTTGAATAAATCAGTGCGAACAAATTGGTTGAGTGACTTATTCAATGATTCACCCATGATACATTTGTTGCCCCTACTGGTGTTCACACTACACTTTTCATTTCATTGACTTCCATTCATACGCATTTGAGAGACAAGGGAACACAAACTGAATTTTGTTGCATTAGCATTACAAAATGTAAGTTTATGAGCTCTGCCCTGCAGATTCTTATCATGTGAAGACATGTGACCAGTAGAAGACTGATACTCTTAGCTGAAATAAAAGAATGCAAAAATTAAATATGCAATGTTGCAGATTGCATGTTCTTACACTGTGGATGTATAATATATTTGTAAAAATATGCTGCATAATGTGACTATTATGACTGTTGCAGTGCTAGTGTGACTGTGGCTTCAGTGTTTGAGATTTACAGCTGCATTCAACAACAGTAAGGGCTCAAATACAGTCTGAATAAACAAGCAACCAAAGTCAAGCCTTACTTATAAGTCACATGTTACCATAAGGACAACAAGCCACATGATTTAAGGTATGATTTATGCTCATAGCACAAACAATGTGTCCTGAAGTTTAATACTCAGGGTTAGGGGTTTGTTCCAATCCCTAAACCCAAGTATGAGCAGTATGCAGTTCTGTTAGGTCAGAGCTTTGTTTTGTACATGTTCTCTCCATCTTCTATAAACAGACTGTTGGAGCTTGTTCCAAATCTGGTTCATGTTCACACCCACACTCGCACACTTTCATCCAAGAGAAAAGTGCTCCCAAAATCGAGACTCTCCATGCCTGCTGGTACATCAGAGAGCAGGTGGCCTTCCTAAACAGGACAATCGAGTCAGAGATCCAAAAGCTGGAGGAAGCAATCTCTCACTCCCACAATGCACTCCACCAGATGGGAGCACATTGGTCCTGACAGTGATGTCGCCGTGGGGACTGCAACATATTGCTAGGCAACATGATCTAATGATTATGACAGGCGTAATTTTCAGCCAATTTAAAGCCATCCAGGAATGAAGAGGCAGAGCCTGATGGTTTTAACGGGAGCAGAAAGGGACGCAGATAGGAGCTGTTAATGGCTGTTGTGTGTCATTTGGGATGGCAATATTCAGAGTAGATTGAAACAAGAATCTCAGTTGGTTTCTGCAGTTGGTTGAGTCTGTATGAATTTATTAGTGGTGCTTGCTAAGGCAAACATATTATTATTACTTGTAGGGTTAGGGATTTTAATAAAACCTTAACCATGTTTTCAACTTAACTCGTAA